CGTATCGTTACCCCTCTGAATTAAATTAGGCGGTCAATTTTAAGCCAGTTACGTTCAGGACCATGTATCCTCGATCTTTTTAATCGATCTTCTTAAAAGTTTGCTTTTCCAACAGTTTACCCGGCTATTTTATTTTTTTTTTCCCCCCGTAATTCGTCGATTCGATGCAACATTCTTGCGGTCGTCGAAGATTGCTTGAAACGTTGGTAAATCGGTATCGATTTCCGAAACAGGATCGAAGGGCGAAATTCGCTACCTCCATTATGGTTTTTACCGGCGAATTTTAGCCATCTGTGGCGCAAGAGATATTTATTTATCCTTATAATCAAAGCACTCGCGTACTCGCCGCTAGAGGGCCACGCTCTCGACTCTCTCGCAAGCGCTCGACCGACCTTCACGCAATTGTTACAAGTCATAACTCCGTTATTATTGCATTTACGAAAAAATGCCAAAGGAGAAAGATAAATGGTTCGAAGAGCACTACATCTGTAGGCCTTTAAATTTTTTTTAGATGCAGCGGTGCATGTGCAATTAACAATTGCATCATTTCTTTAAATAGAAATGCATATTTTTTTTCACACAGATCGATTCTTCTGTTCATTCTGCGTAAAAAATGATTAGGGTACCATGGCAAAAAAATTATTGGATCTCGAGATATTTAAAAAAAATGTCTTTATCGAAGAAGATACTCAGTAACAATTGCGTGGACCACCCTGTATACGCTCTTCAATATCTCAGCGTCCAAGACAGAGTCTGCCCACATTTTCATCTTCGATTTAACGTTAAAAACTTTATAACCGAAAATAAGTGTTTGACCACTTTAAATTAACCTTCTTTCTCGTAATTAAAATTCCTGATCTCAAAATAGACGCATCGAGCCCAACCTCTCGAGTAAAATGACCAATGTATGCAATAAAATAACTATAACTCCGGGAAGTAAAGGGGTTTCTAGGCCCAAGTTTATGGGGACGTTTTCCTCGGGCCTGAATCGTGGATCACGGTCTATAAATTGGTTCCAGACATCGTTACTGAATCACCCTATAGAGAGAAAGAGAAACAGCGCTCGCGGAATGACTGGGAGCAACGTGTCAAGCTGACCTTCTGCCCTCGTAAGTAATGTTCTCAGGGAAGACATGATAGCATTGGACCAAAAAACACACCGTGAAAAACAGAGTGACCGAGGGTACCGGTGGCGTGCAGAGTTAACGGTTATTAGCTAACTATTAACCGACAGGACTCGACGCAGATAAAACGAAGATTTTCAAAGGGAAAAGAGAGGCCCGTAATTCTGGAAGAGTTCTAGAAATCCCCATGATACTTCGCGTTGAGAGCCGCGAGAATGTTTGTACAGTTTCTATATATTTACGCCTTTTAACCCCGATCAGGCAAACGCGCCGTTGCCGTCGTAAATAAGAAACACGAAAGACGGGGGGTAGCGTACGCGTTTAATTGGTTGGTAATAAATACAAGAATCCCTCTGTCCATTACGAACGGCAATCAGCCGGTAAAAAAAATAGGCTATCAAAAGCTTTGGCCAGCGGTGGAATATAACCGTGAAAAAGGAGCAAAGAGGTAGGAGCTTCCTCGAAGGGCGGAGTGAAACGCCACTGGTCCCCCGGTCTTCCACGGAGTCGTGTTGCATCGGAGGATACGTTGGAATCTTAAAGGATACGGCAACGATGATTGAGCGATCGAACTCTTATTGGCCACGGAAACTTCTTGCCATTAGGTGATCCGGGAATCGTCGGGAAAGGGACTCCGTTGCGTAAGAATTTCCTCATTCCACGGGACGTTCAACGAACGGACCAAAGTTCAGACACCCAGTCGTCGTATCGAGCTTGTTTCGTCGTTTGTTAATTTTTATCGGAGACAAACCATCTCGAGGAAATTGAATGGAGTTTAAAAAGTATGCAAAGAAATTAGAGAGAATCGATGCACGCTGGATGCACGAAATTAAAACTCGTTAAGACCTGTTAGAAGTTATCAAGATCTTAAATCTTTCGTTGATCTCGGGTAATGGACCAGGCGATGAAGCGCAGTGTCGTTGGGATCGACGGGCAACTCGGATGGCTGAAATTGGTGTGGGGGTCCGTCGGAATCTTTCATGGAAATCTCCCGGGCCCTGTTCGGAGGAACGTTTATTTTAATTTCGGTGGATCTTGTCAGTCGTTGACGAATTAATTAACCGGCAGACTTTTTTGACCCGTATGGTTGGGCGTATGAAATATGGAGCACAATAAAACTGTCTTGGAAGGCGCACTCCCGGGGACCTGCTCGACAAGATCGTCATTTTAATATCGGCAAATCCTGTCAGTTAATGGTCAGTTAGCGGCTATAAACATGACGCGTTCCTAGATTAACGGAGTACCGTGTCAAAATCGAACACAGGGAATAGCACCGGACAAAACGTCGTTCGATGTATCGAGTATACCCTTGTACGGATTATTCTCCATTTTCCTTGGAAACTGGTCGGCTAACAGCCGAGAGATATGAACTCATTAATATCGTATTTGGATCCCCGGCTTCCTCAACCTTAATCGTGCAACGATCTACCGGGACATTAGGGGCCCAAGTATAACCTCTGAGGACAGATTTTAATCTCGGTGTCGTTGAACTTATTCTGTCGAGGAACGAACCGGAATCGCTGAACTGATAATTCTGATCTTGTTTTTAGGGAAACGATATTTAATTTTCATTCCTTAATCTTTGGGGATCCAGTGGTTGAGATGGAAAGAAAAGGATAGGGAGAGTGTTTCCAAGTGTTTTCCGGCACATTGGGAGTCTGTCGAGGAGTGTATATGTATATGCAGACGGAAGGTCGGTCGAGCGCTTGCGAGAGAGACAAGAACGTGGACCTCTGGCGGCGAGTACGGGAGGCGATGGACCCCACATATACCCTTAAGTGGATTATTGGCTCTACAAGTTTAAACTAATATTATTTTTTAAATGCTTCAAAGGAAAGTTTATTTCCATTTGTCAATTTGATAGAAATCAACTCAATCGAGACTGAGAGTCCACTTAACGCGTCCACGAGTCACGATCGTTTAAGTGAAATTGTGTTTCGTGTCCATCTTACGCGTAGCCTTAATTTTATTTCGATTCCGATCGAAGGGTATCGTACACCGACGGGGCCCGGTGAATTTGGGTCCGGGCCCCGTTCGAAAAGTGCCGCGGTCCGAATCGTATATTCCCCTGGTCGGGTCCATCGCGAACTGCCCTCGGGGGGGCAGCTATTCGTCGCGGCGCAGGCTGCGCACGCACACGTCGAGGCACCGACGGCGTAGAAGTCGAAGTCGACCGCGCGCGTACAGAAACGGGGGCCCCTCGGCGAGGCGTCGGGCCCCGACACGCCACACGTATTAGAAACGAATATAAATATATCGGGAAGGAAGGCGGCCAGGGGGAGGTGAGGTGGGGGCAGCCAGGCTCGCATTGGCGGCGCGGCGGTTACACGCACCGACGTAGCGGCCTCGCGGGGAAACGGACCCCTCCGTTCTCCCTACCCTCGAACGTCTCTCCGGCCGGCTGTCCGCTCGCACCCCGCTCTTCTCCGGGGGCCCCGAGTCCCGGAGTACGCTCAGTGTCCGCTCGGCCACAGCACGCCCGAGTAGGAAGGAACCCGGGACGCCGCGTCTAAAATCATTTCGACGCGTTTCGTGGTGATCCGCCGGCCGGGCCCCCACAGTGCCGCCCAATTAACCGCGTTGCCTCGCCAGTGGTTACCCTCGTACACGTCGTTTACGAAGAAGCCCCGTGAAAAACGTGTTCCAGGACGCTGTTGCGGCGCAGTTCCACGGAGAAACGACGCGCGATATGCGGGGCCCGTGATCCGCCGGGGCCCCCAACGATCAGCCGTTCCGTGATCGACGACGGACGGACGGGCGCTCGGGGCCCGTGATGACGCTGCCCGTCGATACTGGCCGGTGGACGGTTCCGAGAACCGAGAGACGCGCGGACGTAGCGCGTCCAGGGCCCTACGTGCATCGAATTCGCCTCGAACGGGTCGTAGCGAGGGAGACGATACGGAATTGACGCTTCGTCCCCGATTCGTGAACAACCGCCGGGGACGGTTCGCGGAGCCGGAGGGACCGGGCCCCGCGGATCGGTGGGCCCGACGTGGCCGGGACTGCTCGTGGCCACGCGGAACGTTATCGGTTTCGCCCGGTTTCCCTTTGTACGCCGCGTATTAAAACGTTAATCTCCGGTCGTACTACCGGTTATACGTACAGATTGGCTCTCCCTTCCTACGGGTTGTCTCTCTCCCTCGTCCTCTTCCTTTTTCCGTTCGCGCCACCTTTCTTTCTTTCTCTCTTTCTCTCTCTCTTCTCCCGTCGCTAGCTTTCGCCTGGTCCCCCCCAACCCCTCCCTCCCTCCGTCCGTCGTCTCTTGCGCGCCGCCAGGGGGCCCCTCCGCGCGCGGGGGTAACCCCGGCGTGTCCTCCGCGCGTATTCGCGAGCGCGTGCCGCGCGATCGCCGCGAGGAGCGATGTGCCGCGCGATCGATCGGCTGCTGGGCTCGCGCGCGAGCCTCCTCGTCGTCGTCGTCGTCGTCCGTCGTTGCCTTTGATCGTCGTCCGTGAAACGGGACCGAGAGGGATATCTCCGGCGACGCGGTGTCCACTTGACGATGACGGCTTCTTCTTCTTCTCCTCCTTCCTCCTCCTCCACCTCCTCCCCCTCTTCGTCGTCTTCTTCGCCCAGGTGGCTCGGCGCGAACTCGCGGAGTTACCGAGCCGCGCCGCGGTCGTCCGACCGGGACCACGATCTTATCGAGCGCCGTCCGGGCTGATCGGGCCCGAAGGACGATCGGAGAGGCTATCGCCGAGGATATCCTATCCTTCGATCGCTTAATGCAGCCGGGGATTAAACGCGAAACGAGCGCGTACCGACGATAGAGAGGACAGAGGACGTACCGGCGATCTCCGTTCGACGATAAGCCTGGAGGAGACGACGTTGTAACGCGAGACTCTCGACGGGAAAAGGAACACGGATGACCAAACGATGTCGAGCCTAGCCAGAAGACGGAAGACCTCGTTACTGGGGTCGAAGAGATGGTGGCAGGGCGGCTGTTGGGCCACCAGGAGCCACCAGGAGGCCTACCTGAGGAAGCTGTACGCCAGGAAGAACGAGCAAGCGGGAAAGGTCGAGGAGGAGGTTGGAAATCGACGGGAGGACCTGGGGAACAACTGGATCGCGCCTGGTACCGTCTACGAGCTACCATCCGCGGACGAGCACTACCTGGACGCGTTCCTGAGGAGCCGCGAGGACGGGATCAACGACGACGACGTGGTCGGTGTGGTCGTCGGGTGTCCGGGACTGGCGGCGTCCGGGGCCAGTCCCACGGAGAAGTGCGTCGAGTACCTGAACGGCGCCCACGACGCCGCCGCCGCTGCCTTCGAGCACGACCGTAGCATCGGAGATGCGGAATGCAACCGCGTCGGCGATTGCAGCTCCCTGCATTCGGGTTACGATGTCGCCGCCGCCTCCTCGGAGTGAGTTCACCGCGATCTGTTGCTCCCGTTTCTCGAGGAAATCGCCCGCGGGGGGAAAGTTTTTTCGACCGCTGACCGATGGGACGGGTTCTTGTTCCGTTTCGCGAAACGGAGATGAATAGTGATCGGGGAATGGGGAGGGAATGTTTTCGAAGTGATACACGATGGAATATGGAGGAATCAGAGCGAGGAATCGACACCCAGTCAATGGTGATAATAGTTTTTCGGAATGTTAAATACGATCCTAGGGAATTTTTAGACTCTGGTGGTCCTAGTTTCGATCCTGTTCTTGGTAGAAGTGTTTTTTATTGGAATGAAGTTCGTTTATCTTTCTTGCCACGGAGATAAGTGTTGGATCAAGTTTCGTGAATAGTTTTCGAAGCGTCGACGATTGGAATGGACATTTTATCTCGTTTCTCGACGCTCGGATGAGTAATGATACGGGGGGGAAATTGTTTAAGTGTTACTCGTTGCCACGGGACGCTGAAACTAGGGTAGTAATTGAAACTGAGCTGAATATGATTGGTAGGAATAGTTGTATCTTTTTTGTGATAGAATGTGATCCAAGGAAACGTTTTCGAATGAACTTTTTATCCTGTTTCTTGACACATGGATGAATAATGATCCAGATTATTTAAACTCGTTGGCGTGAAACGATAAAACTAGGGTACCGTCTGTAACGGAAGTATGTTTTGTAGAAATAGTTTCAGGATATTTTTTTCTTTCTTTGAACGAAATTACACGCCACCTAGGGGAAAGTTACTGGAATGTTAATCATTGGAAGTTCTTCGAATTGGGACACGAGTTTAGTAATTTTTACACCTAGTACCTTTCATATACCTACAAAAGTCTTTAATTCGTAAAAATTGATACCATTTATTTCGTAGCTAAAATATGAAATTGCGATTTCGTTTATTTTTAATTCCGTAAGAATTTCGACGGATCGCCGTTGTTTGGGTAATATAATAAATTTTCCTAGGGAATCTCTGCACGTTCTTAGAGGCGAGACACGTCTCTCTGTGTGGCCAAGAATAAATTGCCTTTTTAGCCAGGATGGTTAAAACGTTTTTCAGCATCGAAATCGCCGGGGTCGACGAGTAAACTGATAGTTTGCCCCGTAGCTACTGTGTAATCAAGCAATCTCAATCCGTCGTTTGTCGTGAAAATAGGATTCCTCGTTGCGGTAGAAATTCGCGTCGCCGGCGACCGCCGTTGGTAATGATAGACTGTTCTCGAAATTGTAATGAGCTGGTTACACTTTCAGCTTCGACGATAGATTTAGAAAGGGAGCGGAGAGTCCGTCGTTTCTGCATAATCAACGATGTCGACGCGTCTCCGTTTATCATCTCATCGCGTCAAAGTAGCGCCCGGTTTCTGCCACGCGGACGATAAATCAGAATATGGTAATTTTAAGCAGCCCGCGAGGAAAAAAACGACAAACTTTTTCTCTGAATACCGTTCGTAACCGTGCGCTATTTTCTTCTTAATTTTCCATTCTTTTATAAAAACAATTATTTTAAGGATTTTATAAATTTACTATAATTTAAATCAAGCTTTTCAAATTTTTCGAAAACTTTAGAAATCCAGTTTGAAACGCATTAAATTTTTATCGAACGAACGGTGGATTTAAGGTTGGTTGTCTTCGAGTCGTTATTCGAAGCTTTTATTCAGATAAGAAACTCTCGACCGTCGTGGCTGTTCATTTTCAGTTTGTTGGATTTTCTGTAGCAAATCGACGTTCTTCTGCACGGGGATCAAGAATGCTAATTGCAGCGCGATTTATCACTTCCCTTGGGAATGGAATTCCTTCGTTTTTCCGGGAACATGGTTCAATATTAATATGCAACGCGCACTATGCTGACTCTGATTGCACGTTGAATTTGGTTTTAGGGTACTTAAGATACCGAATAGACACAGACACGTTTCGATATTTGCCATAATATTTACATGGTAAATTGTGCTCGTTAAAAAAACGAAACAAAGATAAATTTTATCTTCTATTTACCATAGCTGAGAATAACCAAGATAAAAAAAAAAATTTGTTGAAACTGAACGTTTTATCCGAGGGGCACTTTATTTTATATAATGTAAATCGAAAACTTAGTGGTTTCTGGACTTTAGACTCGCGCTGATAAGACTGATTTACTGGTTTTCAGATATGGATACATTCCTTCATACCTTTCGAAGCCCAGGAATGCCAATAAATTTAACTTTACGATCTCTGATAGAAATAGATTTTCTCGCTCGTCGGTAGGAAAGGATTAACACGAATAGGATTCATTTCCTGCTTCAAACGTCCTCCTTTCGGTTTATGTTCGCTGTTCCGAAAATTGAATTTACGTACTTGCCTCGATCTAATAATTCAACGAAGTTCATAACTCGTGTACGAGATAACGCAAAAACCGGTACACGTATTCCCACGATTTTCTCCATCGTGAATAAACATAGACGCTACAAAAAAAATAGTTTTCAAAACTTCAAGGAACGCTTAATACATCATCAAAAAATCGTTTCGATCAAATGCACCGATTTCCCGTAAAAAATTCGCGAAAGTACCGCTCGTTTTGGGCCCGGTCCCGGTGGTTTTGGGCCCTAGATCGATTTAATTTCCAACTGTGCGTGCCAAAAGCGACACCAAGGTTTCCCTGAGACGTTATTTTAAGCTAAGGGGTTGATTCAACCCCGCCGCTTTTCCGGTGGTTTTGGGCCTTAGATCGAATTTTAACCCTTTGACTTACGATTTAATTTTAAACTATACGTGCCAAAAGCGACACCAAGGTCTCCCTGAGACGTAATTGTAAGCTAAGGGGTTGATTCAACCCCACCGCTTCTCCGGTGGTTTTGGGCCCTAGATCGAATTTTAACCCCTTGCCTTACGATTTAATTTCCAACTGTGCGTGTCAAAAGCGACACCAAGGTTTTTGATTCAACCCCATCACTTTTCCGGTGATTTTGGGCCCTAGATCGAATTTTGATTCAACCCCACCGCTTTTCCCCAACGTGGATCAGGTTTCCACCGTGATTCTAATGGTATCTTAATTGTTTGATTATAGAAAAGTGTGCAGAAGCTGCAGGTGTCCCAGGGAGGAGCATCAGCGGACTTCGACGGAGGCGGGCGGTCCCTCGGGACTGGGCCTCGGTCCAGGCCCGCCGATGGCCATGGCCATGGCGTTCCAAAGCGGGGCCGCCGGTTCTTCTCACCAAGAGCCGTTCAAGAGTCCTGTGCAAGCGGCACCGGCCGGCCTGGCGCTTCAGGAGGCCCTGATGCATCATCAGAGGCACTCGCAGAGCGACGATGACAGCGGATGCGCGCTGGAGGAGTACACGTGGGTGCCGCCTGGTCTCAGGCCGGATCAAGTAAGAAACGAGTCCCAATCCGTGCGGGGAATACCGATCCACCCGTTCTCATACGATTCCCTCTCGACTTTTAGCGGGTTACGACCTATGAAATGTCCGTTTTTTTTTCTGTCCACGTTTCAATCGAGACGCTTATCTGTCACGAAACGATCGTGGGGGAGATTTTTTTAAGACTCTAGAGAGCGGTTGATGTGTAGAATTTTTATGTAAACTCAACGCGTTCACTGTCCATGGCCCGTATATGGGTCACATCGCCACGCTATTGAATACGCCGCTGAGAAACCGGACAGTGAACGGTATCCTCCCACTTTTTGATTTTTAAAAATATTCAGTTACACGAAACTTCTCGAATATAGAATTGTCAAACCTCTGTCTGGACATTGTAAAGTGTTTCGCTTTGTGATTTGTATCCAAATAATAATTTTTGAGAAAGCAACCTTCGAATTGTGGAACGATAGCGGAACGGTCGGTCCGGCACAGAAGTCGCTGCGAGACATTTATAATCGACGAAAGAAGAAATAAAAGATACGGGAAAAAAGTATTTGACGTTACGAAAGTTTCAGGACTCGCTGACTCTCGAGTGGGCGCGCCCTGATACGCTATGCGCCGCGCGCCGGTGACTTCGGATTTGCATAAAGGTTTGCTTTCTCTCCAGCTGATTTATCGAGACGGTTACAGCAGTCGAACCACTCGAGACGTGGTTTTCAGAAAACGTCGAGAAATTTCGCGTATTATACGAAAACATCGCCGACTCGATGGGGGATGTTTCTCTAATAAAAATTAGTCAACGTCAATGATCTTTGGGCCAGTCTAGTTCTTCGTTATATTCTACAAGATTCGGGGACGTAAACTTTCAAGAAAGTCGATTTGGTGATCGACCGTCCCTGGGGGGGCGCGCGCGCGATTCGAAAGTGGGTCAGGATTTGGGTTGAACAACGATCCCGTAAGTGAAATAAAAAGTACCCGCCGATGACCGATTCAATGTTTTGCTCGAGGGAGGAGTCACCGTCACGTGTACCGTGTAACTGTAACCACTTCGTTTCTGAATAATTCATGAACGATGAATATCGAGTATCGCGATGGCGATAAATAAAGCTCTCGACCCGTCTTCGATTCCCATTTAGACGAGGGCACAATATGTACCTCGAGACTAAGCTGTCATCCCGCGAGTTGTAACGAGCCTTTGTAACACGCGAACACCGTTCCCCGCGACGTTCTTTTATTTAACCCCTGCAACGCAAGCCCGTAGTCAGAATTTTATTTTAGAGGGGTGGTCGTCCTCTGAATTTTACCAGACAATCGTCGTTAAGCTATATTACATGATTATATAAAAATGCCCCATGGGGCACATTGATACGTTGCGACTTAATCGCCCAAATACTGTCAAATTCATTTACCCAATGCATTTTCTTTGATTTTCACTCGTAGTGTTAAAAAATATAAATAAAATTAGAAAAAATTGATTTGCCCCGATCTCCCCTTATCTTGTCCCGTCGAGGAAGCGGGAAGTTTGGCAGCCCCGGTCAGCAACAAAACAACCGCCTCGAAACGCGTCCCGTCGGGGCCTGTTGGGGCCCGTCGGGGCCCTTAGCAGCCGGGCGCGCTCTGTTCCACACGATCGCTCTTAATTACAATCCGTGCGCGTACACGCTGTCGCAGGTACACCTGTATTTCAGCGCGCTACCGGAAGACAAGATCCCGTACGCGGGTAGCGCCGGCGAGCGGGAACGGGTGAAGCAGCTGCTGCAACAGCTACCGCCGCACGACAACGAGGCTAGGTACTGCAGCGGACTGTCCGAGGAGGAGAAGCGGGAGCTGAGGGTGTTCGCGGCGCAACGGAAACGCGAGGCCCTGGGACGGGGACACGCGAACCAGCTCGAGAGGCCCCACGGGGCCGGATGCCGCGAATGTGCCAGGCCCATCGCGGCCGGCGAGATGGCGGTCGCCGCGAGCCGCGCCGGACCCTCGGCGCTCTGGCATCCGGCGTGCTTCGTCTGCTGCGTTTGCAGGCAGCTGCTCGTCGACCTGATATACTTCTGGCGGGATGGCAGGCTCTACTGCGGCAGACATCACGCGGAGACGTTGAAGCCCCGATGCTGCGCCTGCGACGAGATCATACTGGCGGACGAGTGCACCGAGGCGGAGGGCAGGGCCTGGCACATGAGGCACTTCGCCTGTCTAGAGTGCGATCGACAGGTAAAACGATCGAGGAATGCCCCGTCAACCATCCGTGATCTTCTACGCATATCCGGGAGTCAATAGTATCCATCGAATGCCCCACGGAGCATCCGTGCTCTCTTGAGTCCCTCGGGAGTCAATCGTATCGATCAGAATTTTGAGAATACTAACGCATAATTTGTTACGCTCGCAATGTCAGCGCCAGATGGAATGGTAGACACGTGTTAACTGATAAGGTACACTGCAGTTAGGTTCCCCGTCAGGTGTGTGTTATTAACACCTTGGGCGTCGGTTTGGCTAGGCTTCCCGGACGATATGTACTTTCTGATTCTCGCTCTGATATTGACAAAAGAGATGTACAGACTCCGTCCGTAGCTATGATAATAATAATCTTGCGAATCTCTCAGGTTAAGTCATTTCACAAGTCTCTAGACAAAATGGACATTTCGTAGGCCTCAAGTACCGTGTCTATCGTTAAATGGAACAACTGTTTTAGGTCCCACGGGGCACACTACCAAACTTCAGACACCCATTTTGATGAAATTCACCAACTCGAAAGCTAGACTTGATTTAATTTTTAGAGGGACCAAACACTACATTTGAGCCAGCCATTTTGTAAAATTACTCGATTCTGCTCTTGACAATTTGTTATATATATGTAACTTGATTCAATATCTTTGCTTTCGTGATTGAAGACGATTCAGAACACCGAGTGGGAATGTTTTTTCATCGCGGAACAATTTTTATTGCGCTCCGTACTGCAAATCAATTTGTGCAAGGGTATCATCATAATCGGCGTCTGACAGGTAGCAGTTCCTTGTCGGCGTCAAGAGATCGCGACTTTTATCGATGTGTTTATACAACAACGTATCGTTTCGTGGCCGAGTCGGATGACAGAACGCAAGAAACTTCCATCATTTGCACTTTTTGCCGCGCGACGAATTATTTACGCCCGACGGCCGTGTCCGTTGAGAGTCATTTACCCCCCGAGCACCAGGACGATTTAGCTGTCAGCCTCAGAGCTGTATCCCCTTTATATCCTGTGACGGCCGTCCGTGGCATACAGTTCGCGCACAATAATTCATTGAATCTAGGTGTCGATAAATGTCATAGCCAGTCGACGCGAGCTGTACATCTCTTTTGTGCCGATCGGCCAGACAAAGCTTCTTATCGTCCCTACGAACGCGATAATGGACGATCCGGGGAGGTCCGGCACGTCGCCGTCGGTGTTTCGGCCCGCCGTGGGCCAGTGATAATCCGAAACTACGTTCACGTCGATCTCCATCGATGCATCGATCAGCCCCCGACGGGGACGTCTATTAATGGAATGACGGGAAAATAAAAACGCCAGGTGTACGCGTACGGGCTGACGAATGGGAGGCACTCGAAACTAAATGGCTGTCAGTTCGAAACGAGTTTGTGATTTGGAAGTACCCACCATTTTGCACGGCTAGCTCGTAGTTATTCGTTGCTAGAAATTTCATTCCATATCGTGCTTGAATTTTTCAGGCCTATAGGCAATTTAACATTCAACCTGGATACTCTGTAAATTAGATTTATGGTTCGAAACGATCGCGGTCTTTACTCACAGATTATTCCCCTTCTATTACTATATTGGTCATCGAGGCTTAACACTTATTTCGTTATTAGACGATGTATATTTTATCGATAGAGAGGTTATGGTCACTTGTTAACAATTAACCTAGCTGTACACGCGCGGTGAGTCACCGTTGCGTTTCTATCTTAATTCTTGTTTTCTAATTAAAACGAAGACGAGGCAAAAAAAACGTGGAATCGCAACCGAGGTTAGAACCGAAACTAATGGCCCCTAGAGATAACGCGAACGGTTTCAACGCCAACCGACAGATGGCTCGCGTGTAGATGGCGCTGTACTCGCGTCCACCACTAGGGACATCAATTCCCTCCGATATAACACTCCGTTCCTTTCAGAATATTTTTATCGAAATGCAAGGAAGCAACGATGCTCCCTGGGAAACTTTTCGCCTTCCGATTGCAACGGAAATGAATTTTCCACCGTCGACCCAAGTCCCCAACGATCGCTCATCGAGTCCCTCGGGATCAGCGGTTTCTCGACTAAATTTGCATCCTCTTTTCCAGCTCGGGGGTCAAAGGTACGTGATGAGGGAAGGTCGACCGTACTGTCTACGTTGCTTCGACGCCTCCTTCGCCGAGTACTGCGACAGCTGCGGGGAACCGATCGGCGTCGATCAAGGACAAATGTCGCACGAGGGTCAGCACTGGCACGCGACCGAGGCTTGCTTCTGCTGCGCCACTTGCCGCACGTCCCTCCTCGGACGGCCGTTCCTGCCCCGAAGAGGCGCCATTTATTGCAGCATAGCGTGCAGCAAGGGTGAACCGCCGACGACGCCCAGCGACTCCTCCGCCGGCCCGCCACCGCCACCTTCCTTCCTCAGGTATGCTCTGCCGTCTGGTCGAGACACGGGGCCCCCCAAGACATTCTTTGGATCCGACCTGAAGATTTAGAGCGAATTCTTGACGCTTGTGGAATTTAGAATCGTGATTTCAGAAGACAGTCCTTGGTTGTAGGCATGGGGTAGACCCTAGTCTGCAGTTGCTGTTGATTCTCTTCTTTAAGGCATATGCCACTTATTGCGTAGCCAAATGGTACACTAGGTAATCTTGAACATCCAGTTGATATTGTTCTCATCAGCCTCTTGCTTAGGCAACAGGAATTCTAATGTGTATGGCGTTGTCAAAAATAGTAATTTAATGTCTTCTAACTTGTAGTTTAAAACTTGCAATGCCTGTTATATTAATTGCAATAGGAGACTAGTTTTAGTCTACTGTCCCTATCCCTTGTCGTTTGGGGAAACTTTCATCGCATTTCTTAACCCAACCGTAGTCCAATATTGATCTTTAGCCAACCTAAACCTAATGGAGTGTTCTGAGGTGACTAATCTCAGTGACCATGACAAAATACCGATATTATCTTTCATTTCTTATTTACCCTCCACTCTTCAAAGGTCGTGGTTCCGTTCGAAGCAGCGACAGGTTATTTATTCGAAACGGTGGCGACTCATTCCATTACTATTCGATTTTCAGAACTGGTCGAAGACAACCGCCGGCCAGCGAGGGTTCGTCGAGCCCTCCGCCCCCTCCGCCGCCACCCCCGCCGCCAGGATCTAGACACACCCTAGGATCGCCGCGAAATTCCCCCCGTATGACCAGGAAGCATCATCAAACGTCTGCTTCTCTGGCGACGACGCCCACGCAAAGCACGATAAACCCCGAATTCACGGCCGAGGGGTTCCCCTCTAGCGGCTCCAGACCGAGTGGCCTTGACCGGGTCCTCCTCGAGAGGAATCTCGAGAGACTGCTCCAAGAACGTAGTTCTCATCCTGAGGAAAATCGCAGCGAATTGGGAAGGTAAATTGATTTCCCCTCCGTCAGGGACACCAAGGTCAATCGATTCCTTCTTTGGGGGGACACGTCTTGCTTTCTCTTTCTATGGACGCTCTGCAAACATGGCTTTTATGGACTCCCTCTTCAAGTAGCCTTAGTCGTCTAATCCTGTGACTGATGCTTTCTCAACTTTTGGAGAATCGTGTCCACCCCATAAAGACAATGTCAACTCTTCAGTTATCATTTTTCCCATCCTTTAAATTTGAAATCTTCCTATGTTTCAGACTGATGCAAGCAAGGGATCGAGAGCCACTCAGATGCGTCCAGAACTGCGCTCCCTCCCACGCATCGAGTATGCCGGAACTGCCTCCACCGCCACGGCCGTCGTCGGGAGCCTCGGCGTCGGCGTCGACGTCGACCTCGACAGGCGTGGTCGTTATAGCCGGCGGCGTCGGGACGCTGTCCGGCGGCAACTTGGCCCAAGACTCGGCGACGTCGCCCACGAACCTGGTCATCGCCCAAACGGATCCCCCCACGCCGACGTCGCGACGAGTACGGTTCCAGGGCGACCTGGACGTGAACGACTACGCGGGCACGTCGTCGCGTGTCCCCCTCTCGCCCACGAACGACAGGAATTCGTCGTCGTCGCCCTCCCCGTCGCCAGCCTCGCTGTCGAGGACGAATGTGTCTCGATCGAGGAGCCTACAGCCGGAGGAAGTTGCCAGCACGTCGTCTGCCTGGGGTGCGTCAAACTTTGTTTTGCATACTACTGGGGAACATATCAATGGGAGATTCTGGGGGCCAAAATAAGATGAAAATCAAGAATTGCAATTTGTTGATCCGCCTGAAGAACGGCAACCTGTGAACAGCTACGTGAGCATGACAGTGGTTCTCACTCAGCATGAGATACTCTATTCACTGACGTATCGACAGCCTCACAGTTTTCTGAGTGAGGGCCACTGTCACTTTGATGATTTGATACGGACCTTAAACCTTTGTATTCCAAGCATGTTTTATACTTCACACATATCAATACCAATTTATATCAACCAACAACAGTTCAATGAAATCAAAGTCAAACAAGGGTCTCTATCTTCTATGAATAATAGGGAGGCGTTCAAAATGTAGTCAACACCATTGAAACCTGGGCGAACAATTACTCTAATAACATCACCAAGGCAGATACCAATAATTCTAACGTTGTCCATGCATTGCAGGCACAGCAGGAAGTTCCAAATCGAGGATGGAGGGGGAGGACGAAGACGCGGAGAGTTGCTGCTCGACTTGCAGCTCCTCCAGCAGTTCCGACGAAGCGGCTGCGTACGCTCTACCGCCCAGAAGAGCATATGGGGGCGTCAGGATCTCGTACGTGCCCAACGACGCGGTTGCGTGCGCGAGGAAACGCGGCCCCACGTCGTCGCCGTCGTCGAGCCAACCGCAGAGGGACACGGAGAAGTGCGTGGTGTCCTGATGACCTCCGCGACCGCCGCGGGAAACGGTTTTACTTTGGAGTCGTACGGCGCGTGCCGACTCTGTCCTCGAACAGGTGCGGGCGTGCAGCGAAGTGCGGACGAACGTAAGAAAAAACAGAGTTCCTAGCCGACGGGCGCGTCGTGGCTCGAGGCACCAGCCAATCGCGACGAGGACCCCCGATGGAATGCTCATTCGTGTAAATAGTGAATGTACTTCCGGACCGATCGCTCGCGGACACCGGACGATCCCGAGGGTCGCGGCTTTTCCACCTATTTTTATTACCCCGTTGATGTATTTGATAATAATAACGATAATAATAACGTTATATTTTATTACCACTGTCATTCCCGCCGCGAAGCGTGAGTTCAACGCCGTGTACATGTAGCTCGACCGGTTCAATAGGATCCCTGGACTCAAAGTCGGCGCAAAGTCGGTCCTTGCCAGCCTTCCATTGTCTGTTACGTACCCCGGGGGTATTCTACTGTGAAACGAACTTTAGGTCCTTGGTAGAAAGGACTACACGCTCCAAAGTACGTTCGAGGTTAGAGGAATTAACAAAAAGAAACGTACATATTTATTTTTCTACGCAATCTATTTTTCCATTCCGAAAAGTGAGGTTATCAAATGCAGGTTAGAATTTGTTGGAATTTGATAGACGTTTCGAATAACGTTCTTCAAGGAAAATCGGTTTTCATTAAAGGTTTCGAATACAGTAGAATACTTCCTTAGTATCCAAAGGTACTCGCTAGCTGGACTGTGGGCCTAGGTCAGGGATGGGGTAACCTGCGGCCTTTTAGCATATTCTCTCAATCGTGTACCTTCCTCGTTTGTACATTGTACATACATTATCGAACGGCGTGTAATTTAATTCTGATGCACGATGTCAGCACATTGACTGCCCTGTCTCCGGACTCGAACGTCCAGGGAGATTGAGAGTAATTCCAGTCACCTCAAAAACGACAAGCTTAATAATTTATCTGTGTGTTTACTAATGGTGTCAAATTTTTAATAGGCTCGATAGATGAGGTGTTACTCTCAATCTCCCTACAATCCTAAGTCTAAGTACGTCGTTGCACGTGTATAAACAATTGTTCAATTTAAAAAATCTTTCAAATTACTTGTACAGGTGATACTTGTTCTCTGTTCGACGGACAGTCAACGTGATAAAAGGTTAAGCGCTATTGTATGTTTATTAAAATTGTTTTATGGTTGTACTATTTGGACCAAGGATGGTTACAGGTTTTATAACCTAAAAATACTCGCTTAGTTCTATGACGAGCAAAGGGACATATCAATGGAGGAGTTGTATCGAACCCTAGCTTGAAACTAACCTGAAAGAAAACTTCCTTGCTCCGACTAGTATACTAATTAGTTATTTAGACTCGACGTTATATGATTGGCATGTTCTTTGTCTGGTTCATAAACCGAACATGGGAAAGAAACGTAGACTGAAAAAATCGTTTGCTCGATTATGGGTACCTAAACAGATAATAATTTATATTTAGATATGTATTGTTTGTAATTCTTGCAAAATTAATTGTATTTGACGTGTGTGGTGTTACGAGGATACTCTGAAGCGACGTATGGGCCTTTAAATATTAAAAAGCCTCGCAGGAATCAAGGAGTCCCCTCTGGCCTAGGCGATACCTACTACTCACTTAACCATGCTCAAACAACTACCTCGGGGCTCGTATTAAACTTGTCGAGCTGTACACCCTATCCCACGGATTCTTTAAAACCCTACCCCCAAGTCAGCCTCCTTCCGATGTCTGATTAAATATCTTTGTCGGACGAGAACACCGCCACGCGAGGTGTTCGCCGTGACGCATTACGCTTCTAAGTACAAACGACAATTCCGAACGATGTAGACAATCTGAAGAAGTATTCGGGAAATAAATCGAGACGATGTCGATCAAAGTGAACGTGTGTTTTAATGGCTGGAGCCACTGCCAGCGATCTCATCCCGAAATTTATTCATTTGCCAAAAAATAATTGTCCTCCCCTATACTATTTACAATTAGTATATTCGGATGTACAGGTTATTCCCTAGATGTTTCGTGTAGATATAGTAATTTTATTTCGTAGTACTAGAGGGAACAACAATCTTTTGGCCCAGTGTCTTGTGTTTGTTAAGGATTTGCCTACTCTATCTTTTCGAGGTTATATTTGATTTTTTACCTTTTTAAATCCAAGTGATATGTTCAAACTATTCTATAGTGCTGTTACTATTACTAATCCTAGTTTTAGCGTTTCTATTGATACTATTGTTACTATTATTACCCTTATCAGTATTTCTACATTTAAGCTATCATATAAATATCTCTTGTGTACTTACTTTCCCGAAATTCTGGTTGATTTTAGAACTTGGTATCAGGGGAATATAATACTCGAATAAGTTAATTTCGATAGTCAGTTACGGTAATTATCAGAATATAGTCGAGAGCTGCCCCGCGGGCACGGTAAGGTCCCGCCATCGCTGGAAACATGGCGTCGCACGAAAGTGACCATGCCCTCCTCGGCCCGCGGAGGAAAAAATATGAAAACGCACACGGTCGTGTAGCGAAAACCAGCGAAAGTGGTTTCTCTCGGAGGGCGAAACGTCTGTTACTATCTCTCCGGTTCGACTTGGGCTCCGTGCCCCGTCTCTCTTGCTTTCTCCACGAGACTCAGCGAGCAGATCTTGCCTACGTACCCCGTCGAAGGAAGAGAATCGAAGGTGCGAGAGCCACGCCAACCTATCAGCCCCGTCCACATTTCCAATCACGAATCTTCGTGTCGCGTTGCGAAAGACCGCCATTAGCATGGAGGCACGCAAACGCAAACGCAAACGGCCACACACGATCGTGCGTCGCGTGGGCATTGACTAATCGACGGAGCAGCGACGCTCGGCATCCAAAGGATGCTCGAACGGAACCGCGAATGAAGCGATTATGTCACGTTAACCAGGTCTCCACGACGAACAGGTACACCGTTACATAAGTAACTATGAATTCTCATGGCTGGATGGGGAATCATCCAGCTGTGGCCTGGTTAAATACCACATTCGCGAGTAGAAACCTTGGATGTTCGCGGGTCGCGTCGGTGTGGGTTTCGTAGGTGGCGCGCATGGTGGCGTGGAAACGTTTTGAGGATGCTTCGAAGGCGGATAGCCGGACGTCGCTTTGTGGACGTTTATGGGCTGGGTCAAGGGCTGAATGGAACCTTGACACGAGCTATGCATTCTCGTACCACTGAAGAACCACTGACAACTAGATATCGTCGAGTTGTTATAAGTAGAATGGAATTGTCGGGAGAATGCAATAGGTTAGAACAGGGTTAAACGTAGGTTCGGTAGCCACGTAGTATAATTACGATATACGATGAACTATAACGCTACGAACGATGGAAATTGAAGAAACGTGATAGCCAAGAGTGACGATTTGAGGTTATACCGCTAGAGCACCGCTAGCCACGAAATGGAGAAGGCTTGAAAAAATGACATAATAGTTTTCAGCGTATGCATTTCACCGAAACAGCTAGAACGACTTTGGAAGTGAAATCCTCGTGGTAAATCGCGTGTTTGGAACCGTTTTACCGGTCAATTACGCAAATCGACGCGCAGAGATTTCTCGGGGCGGCATTCTTACCCGTTTCTCGCGTACGCTTAGGCGATTTATCCGCCGTTAACGTTGGTAAGGGTTTACAAGCTATTATCCGCGTGCATTGTTATCCGCGATCGTAATTCAACGCGTACAATTCGCGCTAAATATTTATATCTTTTATCGATACTATCGCGACTGTTTTCTTTCGTTGCTCGGAGAATACACCGAACAGTAACAATAGGAAAATTACGTTTCCTCGGTTGCCTAACAATCAACTTTTGTCTTAGGGGTTAGGTGTTCCAGGAAACTCGCCTCGCGACGTTCCGCCGCACGAAATTGCGTTCGCGAATATTAAAACCGACTCGCGTACGCGAACTAGGCCACGATTACGCAACTATATAATGCGTAAGTGTACTCGGTGGTGGATTGTACCTGTCGTACACGCCTGAAAGAGAATGCACTCTCGCGTGGATGCCCGTTTTCACGGAATCCTCCTAGAACCCGCAACACGGTCCACCGTAGCGTGCTATGTTCCTACGCTTGGACAATATTAACGAGTAGAACTTGCACTAATAATTCTATTCTCGGGTATAGTATTACCGAGGACTTAGAATTATACATCAACAGTTCTGAATCCTGTAGAATCTATGGTGTAGATTAATAGCCCTGTCTTGGAACAGTACTGCTAACAAGTGAGAGTACTTTCTACTTCCAATGGTAGGATTACGAGTAGTCGTAGAAGTACTCTATTAGAATAATAGTCGCTATGAAAAAAAGTTATTTAATAATAGAATAATTTTCACGTATCCAATGAAAATTATCAATAATTAAATATATAATTTATATAAATAATAATTTATTCATTATTAAATTATATATTTATAGGACATAAGATTATTAATCCTCATCCCTAGAGTAGAATTACTAAAGAATAGAAGCATACTTCTGAAAGTGAGGTTATGATTATTCCAGCAGTAAACAACGTTTGTTATTTCTAAAATTAGAAGTGTTACTAATCTTACAAATAATAACACCTCATACAAAGTAAAATTATTGTAGACCAAAAGTACTATTTCCAAGAGCAGAGCTATTATTCCTACTTCCTCGTTCTCGAGACATAACCTATCAATAGAACTACTACTGTCCAAGGATTGCATTAAGAAACCAGCCCCCGGGAGTAGTACTAATACACCTTGGAGATAAATTCATGGTAACTGTAATACCAATTATAGAACTTCTCTTTGTAGATGCCTAGCTGCGTAGCGCACTTGTCGGTTTAATCCGACCAATACGCTCGCTCGACGTTAATTTGTCGGAAAAGGTATAACAAGTACCCGGGTACCGTGCACGCTGTTCGTGTACCGTCGGGGAGCGATAACGAATGTCCCTGGAGGAAACCGCGAGCCCCGGTCGCCATAATTTTTCGCCACGCACACGCAACTGCTTGCTATTCTATATTCATTTGGCACCTTTGCTAATGACTAATGACGACACCACCATGAAAACGTATTCCACCGGGCGATGTCAAAAAACGTTTCCATTACCACACGGTGCCCCGCGGGGGCATTCCTTACCAGCCCTCTACGGTTACAACATCAATTTATGTAACACATCTAGAAATTACTATCTGGCCGTTGGATCTTGTTTTGAGCACAGCTTAGGACAGATTTGTCCAGACAATCTGTAGTTAAGATCGCGGAATTCGATGCTCACCGTACGTCGAGAAGGGCACAAGGTTCGAAAATATATTTTTACTAATTTACAGAATTTTCTTAGAGACTACATTCCGGGGGAAAAGTTCTATTGTCTTTTGAAGAACTTCTTGGCTGTCTTCTCCGAATAATGAAGACTGTAACGTTATTCCGGGTTCTTGAACAGGATACGGC